GGAGAGTGTGGCTGCTCAGAGGAGAAATCAGTCTCTGCTGCTTGGGGAGCCAGCTTCATGGAGAATATCCTAAGGTACAATGGCAGGAAGGCCCTGGCAAAACACAGGCAAGCTTTGCTTATGCAGGGTAAGAAGAAGCTGAGGTGACCCAAAAAAACCCAGACATGGCATTAGTATAAAAAAAAAAAAATTACCAAGTAAATAAAAAATATCAGTAAAACAAGAAAACGGTAAGAATGCTCTTTTAAAAAGATTGATTACTCCATGAGGATGAAGATGAATAAGGACTTTTGTTAGGATCAAGAAGTTCATGCAGGACCTGGCAAAGCAGACATGTCAATAAGGAATGGCAACAACCACATGAAATTACTGGCTGCTTTGTGGCCCATGCAAGTGGATAGTATGGTCCCCCCTCCACTCATATTGGATATATATCAGTGTCATGTGAGCCACCATATCACACCATCTGCAGGCTCAGCCAAGAGGCCCCAGACTGAACAGGAATGCAGAACTATCTCCTTACACTTTAAGGAACACTTGAAGCAAATGCTTCCCCCCAAAAAACCTGAAGCAGGCTATGGTAGAGGAAGCAGGAGGGTGCTTAAATAAAATTTATGTGGTTGCTAAGGTAGTTGAGCAATCATATTAGCTCTTGGATTCTTTGGTTTTCTATTACAGCTTGCAGAATGAAAACAACGTTCAAATTTACATTTAAACCACTCTGAAGCCCTCACAGCAAAGAGGACAGGCAAGGACCTCGCCTGTCCCTGATCCCACACTCCTCAGACCCCTGCTATGGCTCACCCAGGCTCAACATCTCTAACACACCTCACTGAGGTTTGCCCAATTGTTCTGCAGCCCAGGGTTACTCTGAGTCACAGGCTCTGGCCAAACCTACATCTTTCTGGGCTTTTTGTTTTGCTGCTTAGCACACACCACTGGAGTGGTCCTGGCCATTCATTCATGCTCAAGACAAACACATGGTGTGCACACACATGCATATCCATTTCAAAGAACGTATTAAGTGCAGCCCCAGCTAAATTGCAAGGTGCAATTTAATACCAGCAATTAACTGTGCACATATTTTTGTACCAGCGAGCTGCAGCAGCACAAGTGCTAGCAGTTAGATGTCTTTTCATATGGTGAAGTTTAAAAATAACTTTAGGGTACTTTTGTCATGGCAAATGCTTGCACAAGGTATTATTAGAGCAGTTATTCACACAAGCTGCAGACAAAATCTGCACCATGATAGACAGTAGAGTCATCTGGGAAGTAAAAATGCAGAAGAGATAGAAAATGTAATCAGGAAATATGCAAACACTTGCTTGGATTTTGACAATGTCTACAACCATATTCTAGTTGGCTCTCCATCTCATTTGCTTAAAAATTAAGAGGCAAAAACAGTGTAGGCAAATACTGACCATGGTGTTAGAAAAACACAGTATTCATTCACTCTTTCCATTTTATCCTAGATAAATAACTTTGTGTTGGTTGCTTTTCAACATTGGGAGCCTTTCCAAGTGAGACCATTAAGACATGATTTCTTACCAAGAAAAGGAAGGTGGAGGGAAATGCACAGGAGCACAAGCAGGAATCCCTATCAATTAATCACAATTTGTCATTTTATCCTGTGACAAATGTGATGAACTGATGTATTGATGACTATCATACGGGCACAAATGAGTTCGCTGGAGTGGCACTGGATTCAGGATGGAAAATGCTTGGGACCCCTAAACTTCAGCTCTCCTGTGGTTCCTCTGCGTGGTGTGGAGCAGCAGGAATGGGTGCAGCTTCAAGACACAAGGTTCAGTGGCAGGCAGCCAGTGCTGACCCTAAAGAGCGAGCCTGCAGGGGGGGAAAGGCAAAACCATCCCAACACTTTCATGTCCACTCCCACAGCTTCTCCAGGGTCTTGTTTCCACTCTCCTGAGCAGACCTGCACACCCTGTGGGCCCTGCCCATGCAGAACTGGTGGAGGAGGCAGTGTTTTAGCTGGCTGCTATTAAAGAGGCTCCCTCCACAAGTGCCTGGCTGCTGCTGTCCTGGTGTCTGGTGCAAGCGTGTGCTTTGTCACACTGGTAGCATGTGGAAGCAATCAGAGGGGTATCTACATATTCTGTACCCAACAGATACAGAAAGAGGTCAAATAAAGACTATTTATGGCTGTAGGTACTGAGCAGTAACCAGCAGTGATGGATAATGGTTAAGAATGCAGGTGGATAAAGCACCCTTTTCCTGGGATTACATTGCTTGTTCCTAATCACTTCAGCTCATCGGTTTCTCCCCCTCCTCTTCTGTTTCTGGGGATTTTGGTGTCACCTATAACAGCTCCAGGAGCTGAAGCTCACCCTCTCACCAGGATGCAGTATTTCAGAACTCCCCAGCACACAAAACAGAGTCCTCAGTCTGTGATTAAATTTCTGCATCAGTGGCACCCTACACTTCCAAAGCAGATTTGGGCTTTTCTTCCTGGGTGGGTCACGATGGGCAAGAGGAGAAAATGTGAGAGCAGCCATGTGTGTGTTGCAAAAACCAAATGCTCCAGTTGGAGACCACTGAAAGTAAGACATCCTTCCAACAGAAGAAAAGCAGCCCAGGTACCAAATAGTTATCTAATATAATTTCCATGGAAGTCAATAAGACCTGGAGATAAAGCAAAATTGTTGGGCTCAACACAAAAAGACAAACCAAACTAAATCAAATGAAAAAAAAAACCCAAACAAAACCAAAACCAAACCAACCAACCAAACAAACAAAAAACACTCAAAAAAATCACAATTCCATAAAAAACCCCAAACAAACAAAAAAACCCACAAATACCAAAACAAAAAAAAGCCACAAATAAATAAACAAACAAACAAGAAACATAAAAACCCACCACTGGTTTAAAAGTTTTGCAAAATCTATCTTTTTTATCATGAATCTCAATACACTTGATGCTTTCTTGAAGCCCTAGCTCAAGAAGGAATGAGACAGTTTTTATTTTGAAATGAAAAGCCTTTCTAGAGTTTGGTCATGACAAATAAACAAATAAATGAATAAATAAATAAGTAAAACCAGAATGCTCTCTGACAGACTTGAGAAATAAGAAACCAAATGAAAGGAATGCTCTTCCATTATTAAAAAAAACTTACTTAATTGCTTCCATTATTAAAAAAAAACCAACAACTTAATTAAGTTTGCTTACAAAAGTAAGTTAATTTTTAACCTGGCTGTGTGATTTTTGAAGCCCAAATTTGATTTTTGAAATCAAATTTCCAAAGTTGAAGCCTTCTGCCAGCAATATTGTGGAATTCCACAGAGCCAGTACATCGTTCCTTCTGAAATGTCTTCTTGAAACTCACCCTGGAGAGCACAGACCCTCGTCCAAAGCTGCACATCTTCTGCCAGGTCTCCAGTAAGGGTTCACTGATGCCCTGAATTCTGCTGTCTCATGACTCATCCTCTCCTGCTTTACACTTAGGTATTGATGAAAAAGTCACAGTTGAGTCCCTGCAACTTAAGAAACGAACAGCAGGTGAAACACCAGTGGTGCTCACACTGTTCCCATGTGGAAGCTGCAGTGAAACATTAATTTTATCTGTCTTAACTGACAGGTGCAACTGTGCCGTGAATCCTTGCAGTGCTCACACCCTTCAGCAGCAAAATTTAGGGTGCAGAAGTTGTTTCCACTCCTGGCTGATATGTCCTGATGCACTTCCAGCAACACAACTGTTCCTGGACCTCTTTGCATCCTCACTGGAGCCTGGAGCACCACCTGCTTGATGAAGATGCAGGAATACTGAAATACACAAGGCTACAGCATTAAAAATAATGGATTTTCTGACAGGGGTGAACAGAAGAAGAGTAAATTCATAATGACACAGGCCCTGTTGTGGTTTGAAAATTCCAGCCCAGCCTTCTGTGTTTTCCTGACTGGGTTTTCTGCTGTTAAAGCTGTAATCATTCAAGCAGTCTGTAGTATACTGTAGGTACCCAGAGCACCTTGTGTTAATATATTAGGAATGAGACACAAAAAAAACCCATCTCCATATTCATAGATGAACACTGCAAGCGAATTGCTGACAGAATGTTTCCTGGGGTGGAAAGAACGGAGAAGTTTCTGTTTTATGGGTTGCCAGAGGGAATAGTTTCTAATGCACAACTTGTGCATTTGGTGGAAAATGAGCACAGTCCCAAAAACAACACCCTTAGCTCAAGGTTTTCCTTTATTGAGTTGTTTTTATTTTATTTACAATGCAAACAAAAGTGCTGATTATCATGATTCAGCACTCTCAAAGAGAGATGGAAGCAGGAAATAGAGTAGGCAATGAGAGAGAGGGACTTGCCACCACACCCAGGCTCAGCATTTCTGATATTTTCAGAAATTTCAGATATTGTGGGAATGATGTTCCTTTGCCTTGCATGTGCACTTAGACATTTCTTGCAACTGATAAGAGGCACAAAATCTGACTCTCTCTTCTATCCTTGTGTGGCCTTCTCCAAATCTGTAGATGTTTTTAGGGTTTGTTTTGTTTTGTTTTAAAATAGGGATTTTGCAACAATATCCAACTTTTTTTTGTTGTTTTAAAGGGATTTTAAACCCTTAAATTAATATAGTCCTGAGCTAAAATGCTCATGCAGAAATGATTAGAGCTTTGTACCAGAGGTGGTACACACCAGCTTTATCTTGCCTGGTATCACCTATTTAGGCACACCTTTGGGGCAGGGTCATGTCTGAATCAATAGTTCCACCAGATGTTGTGGGGCTGTTTGAGACAAGATAAGGCAGAAGACAAACATCCCCCACCACTTCTCACTACTAACAAGCTCACTGAATTTTTCATGGGGTTCCCTGACCACAGTTTGGGCAACAATTGGTTTGCCTGAACTCATTGTTAAGTGTCATTAACCATAAAACCTTCCACATGATCCTAATCTGCTTGGTGGGAGGAAAGGTACTCCAGGAATTGCCAGATCAGGCTTGGAGGAAGTTTCACTGGCTTCACTGGTGAGTAGAAGTTGTGCTGCCTCCAGCCCTTCGGGACCACAAGTGTTACTTGAAGGTGCCACAACAGGTCTGAGAATCGGGTTCACTACAGGTGTGTTGGGCTTTCATGGCCAGTTTTCGGTAGCCACACTCTCACCCCTCTGTGGCTGGACAGGGGGGAGAAAAAATAAGGAAGAGTTCATGAATTGAGATAAAGGTTGGGACAGATTGCTCACCAAATACTGTTGTGGGGAAAGGAGGCTGAATTAGAGATATTAATTGAATTTGCTGCTGTCAGTCCTTCAGGCACAACCTGCTCCAGTGTGGGCTCCTCTCTCCACAGGGGCACAGCCCCTCTCAGACATCCCCCTGCTCCAACACAGGCTCCTCCAGGGGCTGCAGGGGCACAAATTTTGTTTTTTTCTTTCTCTTTATTCATTAGAGACTGATGATTGAGTAACCCTGCAGGATAACAAATAACTGAATCATATGACTCCTCCTCTACAGTCAAACCTGATTGTGTGAGGGAGAACAGACTAGACCAGAAAGGAAAACCTTGAACTAAAGTTCAGGAATTTTTTCAAGGCCATGGGTAACAAGTTCCCAGGTGTGTGTGGCCTTGGTCATTCAATATCTCATGGCTTGACCTCTACAGCGAAGGCACCTGGCAAAATGAAAAGGACAATTAAAGAGAAAACAAGAAGAATGGGGGGTACTCTGCCACTCTGGTGGTGTAGGGACATTGGTCAACAATTGGACTTGGAAAGGCAGGAACTCCAGGCTTGAGAAATCACCCAAAGCAAAAGTAGTCATTTGTAGTCTGCTCGCAATTGTTTTGCCTGGCAGCTTGAAATTCACACAGCTGCTGTTTTTAGTTTTGAGGCAGAAAGTGCCACTGTCTGCGCAGGTTTCAGCTGGAATTTGAAGCCATCCAGAAACCACGAGGAAGAACTCTGCCCACCACTGTACCAGAGCTGCCTTCAGCTGGGAACAGCAAACGTGGTCCCATGGATGGGACATCTGTTGACAAAAATAACCCTGATGAGAAATTCTGACATTTCCATAAACTCAGGGTGATCTTGGACCACTCTTGACTCCCATCAGTCTGGCACATTCAGAAACCTGTGTGGGGAAATTCTGCCTGATAAAAGCCTAATTTACCATGGTATGTAAGTATTTAACACAAATATCCCTTTTTTACAAGGATTTTGTGTTAAGAGTAATTTTTCCATGAAACTTGAGAATAGAAATGAAAAATGGCATAATGTACTAACTGTAATACAAAATACAATGTGTTTGAGATCTAGTATATGTGGGGAAATATTTTTTTTTCCTTTAAAGATTAATTTATTTCATATATACATGCTAATGTGGTATTAGCATTTGTATTAAGGACACCTGAGTGCCCCAGCTGAGGCCAGATCCCTGTGGTGCCAGGAACTGAACACACCCAGGGGTTAGAAATCGTATTAGTTCCTTCCTTAGATGTTCTCAGACAAATAAATAGAAGAAACACATATTCTCATTTTACAGTCAGGCAACTGAGGCACAAAGAAATTAATCACCATTTCCAGAGCCTGAAGTACACACCAGTGTTTCTCAGCCCTACACCTAAGTGGTAAGGCTGCTCTTTCTTCCATATCTTTTCTTTGAGAGTCTTTCCATATTGTTAATTAAATACAAGTGACAATGACTTCAGTCATGATCAAAAAGAGTGCACGTGTTTGCCTTGCCATAAAGGGACTCTGCTGTTCATCAGCTGCAGGGCACATATATGTATTTTTCCCAGGCAATTGTCTTCCCACTGTGTGGTGTCTCAGTTCTGTCTTTATAACATATATAAACTATGAACTGAAACCATTGCTCTTGTTCTTAAACTGGTCATAAAACTCTTCCCCCACATTAAAAAAATAAAATAAAAAAAAATGATGTGGAACTTGGCAAATGAGCTTCTGTTTTCAAAAGAGGATGTCTACACTGGTGAAGAGTGAGTTCCCCCCACGAAGCATCGGGGTGTGTTCCTGGGCAGGACTTTGGCAGATGAGGGAGAGGAGTGCTGTGAAAACACTGCAGGAACCTGTCGCTGGCTGCTCCAGCCAGCAGAGCAGTTTTATTGACAGATACACCCAAGTGCATATTTGTGTATGTTTGTGTGGAAACTGGGGACTCTGTCCAGGCCAACAGTAAGGAAAATACAGCTGGATCCAGTGCACAGTGTCTCATTTCTGAGGATACTCCATAGATTCCAAAAAAAGCAAAGCATAAGTAGAAGTTCTTCCCAGTGCCCATCTCAGATTGCTGGAGACATGAGAGGGACATGAAAGTAGAGAAGCTGCAGATATGGACTAAAATTATCTGAAAGAAGAAATCCCCAGTAACTTCCATGGCCCTTTGTTCAGGTCTCCAGGGAGCAGATGATCAGCAGAGATAACATTGTGAAACTGAACAGTATTTCCTCTCTGTCTGTGTTACATATTTAGCAATGTACCATCAGGACTGCAGAGGACAGCATTATTTCTTGATTATACAATATCATGTATCTATTCAAACTTTTCTGTGGAAGACAGGAGCATAATACATTATAAAACTATTTATTTTTCTGCCACTTCCAATTTTTTTCTCCAGTCACTCCCAACTCGTTGGTTTCAACATCCATGATACATGAACTTCACTTCAGCTTTCATTTAGAGGTATCCACTACAGCTCAAAAACAGGAAAAGTTTGGTTACAGCAGCAGAAAAAGCTGACCTACCTCTGAGATTTATTTTGTCATAGAATTAATTTTTTTTTTTTTTTTTGTATAAAGGAGAAGAGTTTCCCTCCTCTTCAGCTTATCAAGAAAATTCTTAACATTGTTTTTCTGCATTACAGATCAACATGGGCTTTGGCTAACTGAGGTATAAAGGTTGTGATATATAACCTGCTGCTGTTTAAATCACTGGACACAATCCCAAGACTCAGGTGGAAATTTGTGTCTTTCAGACAAATCTTCCTTCTCCTAATGCTGCCTTTCCCCCTTATGTATTGAACTGGTGACCAGAAAATCTAGGGAAAAAAAACCCCAGCAAAACAAAAAAAGGATTCTTGCCTGACCCAGCAGAGGAACAGACCTCCTGGCACTTTTCCAGCAGCCCTGACATCGAGGTTATTACAGAAATCCAATCACATGCTTTACAATTAGAGCTCAGGTTATCAAAATTACTGGCTTGTTTTTCACCACATCTAAGGTGGAAGGTGACAGAAAGCAGCAAACTAACAGAGGACTGGTAAATACAATTGTCAAGCATATGGGCAAAGCACAACAATTAAGAAACGACCATTGGGATTAGGGTCCTCAGCCCTACATAAGACCTCTGACAGTGGAGCTGAAGCATGACTGACAGAGGATCATGACTGCACTGTTTGGAGCTTGGATCCTGTAAAGCCCCTCACCAGAGGCCTGACACAAAAGTAATTAAATAAACCAGACAGAAAAATGGCATGTCCTTCACATTTGGGGCCACAGACTCTACTCATTGTTCCATGACACACATGCAATGATAGGGGAAAAAAAAATATACTAAGGAACTCAAGTATAGCCCTCATTATAAAGCTCTAATTCCCATGACACTTCTTCAGGCAGACACTAGAAAGAGTTAAAAATGGTCCAGTAATTCCCCAGCCTTGTCTGTCTACCTCCTAATTCCATCACCTGCTGCCATCCAGAGAACCTCAGGTTAAATGATTTGATCATGCCTCCTCTGTCCGGGGCAATTTCACAGGGAAGGAGGAAGGTGCTGGGATTTTGAGCGGTGCCAGCACAGGGTGAGACCTCTGTGCTGCCTGGGGCTGTCCCCCCACACTGGGCCCTTACAGGAATTCAGGAGTTGGATGAGTTGGATGCCAGGACACAAATTCAACCCACCAGGCACCACAAAACAATGGGCAAACGCCTGCAAGGGCTGTGAACAATTTGAAGAGTGAAAGGAGGGTGCGGGCTCCCAAGACTATACTTAGTTTTGTTTATCATCAGCGATTAACCCTGCTCTAATTTACACCCTGCTAAGCATACCCAGGTCACAATCCGTTTGTGTGAGGAACAACACAGGATTCGAGATCCAACTCTTGTTTTTCATTCCTTTAAGCAACAGCTGACACAAAGTCTTGTTCCAGATTGTCTCTTAACAGCCTGTGGAGGGATCATGTATTCTGGGCACCAAACCAGCATCAACACTCCGGGTGGGGATGGATGGTGAGAGGAGAAAGACAAGTGGAGGTATGAGTATCCTGCCAAAACAAAACAGCAGAACTTGCTGGCTTCTCCCCAGTCTCCACAATTTACTGTCCTCCCCAAAGGAAGGTGGAAACCCCAGCAAGGAGGATTCTTTCAGATCCCTGACTGGGCTGCTCTGAATGCTGGGGAAAAGAGCTCCTGCCCTGGTCATGCAGGGATGGGTAATTATATCACACAGCCCAGTCAGCAGGCACAGCCAGGGAGTATGCCACTTAGGAGGTAAAGGAGTTGCAGGCAGCAGCAGCAAGCTGAGCTATTTGCACAACTTACCTGGGAAGAAATAATACCTTTCTTTGTGCAGAAGTACAAAAAATACATGGTAACACAACGGAAACATGTTCTTAAGTAAACAAGTGTTAAAAAAAGCTGTTATAAGAATGCAACGGTTGGGCATTCAGGTTAATGCATTTGCCAGGGTTTCTACAGCAACACAGTGAATTAACTTTCAATCATGATGAAATAGACTTCTGTTTTGACTATGTAGGAATTCAATTCACATGTCTTCCACTCTCCAGCTCGCTCACTCTCCTTGACTCTTTTCAGGGGCGAAAAAGAGAATGAAGGAGGCACCACCCACCATCCATTCAGCTTGACAGTGCTGCTGCTGAAGTGCATGTGTGTGGACTGACCACTTCACTGTGCTTGCAGCACAGCTGTTCCTTCTAAAGGTGAATCTGCTGCTGAACAACGGGCTTGGGAGATGCTGAGAGCTTCGGAGTCCTGTTGGCTTCAAAAGGAAATGCAGTATTTTCTACACCTTTCCTCCACTCCAGGATCAAGATCTCTAAGAAGCAGTTCAAAGGAGAACTGCAACCTACAGCCCACATTTGAAACTCTGGGCCTTTTGTACCTTTTTTTTAGGATGCTTTGGACATTCTCCTTTGCCTGCCCTCCTGTGTTATGTAGAAGAAACAGAACTGGTTTATTAATGCTAGCTTCAAAGTCACATACACATGCATAGACACACTCTCAGACAAATCCCTCTATTACAATAAATATCTCATAAAAAATTACATACCCTGAATATATTCAGCAGCAAAATAGCAGCTGTTGCATAGTTTGAGGGTTTTTTTATTTTTAACTTATTAATATGCTGATCAGATCCTTGTAATCAGAAACAAGGGACATTAATCTCATAAAATATGTAAACTGTATTTTATCTGGAAAAAAAAAAAAAAAAAACAGAAAAGGAAAATGTCAAAGCTGTAGCTTCTTTCTTTTCTTTGTTTCATGAGGTGAGAAGACATCTGCAGGTGGAGTTGAAAGTGACTGCAGGTTACCACACAGGCTCAGAGCAGTAGATGAGAGATGAAGAGAGAACAGACAGCTTTTGGTCCATGGTTTAATTTTTGTCCTGATCCATGGCTGCTCTGAGAGCAGCTCAGAGCCACGGTTCATGTGAATTTGGTGGGTGCCTCTACACCAACCCCAGAAGAATCATGTTTATAAAAGGTGTCCCTTGTAAACAGAGACAAAAAGGAACCCCAGGGATTTAGGTCAGCACCTACAAGGAGTGAGGATCCCTCCCAGTGAATAAAATAATTTTATAATAATAATTTTATACCACCACTAGACATGGAGAAGAGGGGCTGGGCTTCTCACTTGCTTCCATGGACAATTTCTTCAGAAGACATGCCAGAGTTTGTCAAGGAAAGAGGCAAAGGCAGGAGCCATGAACTGGCAGGGAAGAGATTCAGGTTTGAGCATCAGTGCTGCAGGGACTTTGGTACCAGATCTGAGGTGCTTTAAACAGACCTGATAGGGAACAAGAAGTTATTTGGTGGTTTCTGAAAATCTCAGCTTCCACACTGAAGCAAACTGAACAAAATCAAAAACTTGGGGTAGCTATGTGTTTAGCCAGTGACAAATTTAGGAGGAAGAAAACCCCTCAAAATTCAGAACCAAATAAGACAAAGAGCTGCATTTTGAAATTAGACTCAACAGATGTTTATATTTTATTGAGCTGAGGACATTGAGCTCTTTAGATGTTTTCACACTTTAATCAATAACCTTCTGCAGGCTCATTAAAAACAGGAATGAATGTTTCAAAAACATGAGTAAGGAGAGAGCAATGCAAAAGATACATGAGTTGGATCAGTTAAGTTGCTTTCTAGAAAAGAAATACAATTAAAAATAATTGGGTTTTCTTAGGCTTGCCATACCTCTTTTTAGAGGGAACAGCACTGTGGTCATCTCCACTACAGCCAACCAAGAGACACCTTCACACTGATGATTGCATCAAATCTGGTTTATAATGAGCCAGTGTGATTTGTCATCTAATCTTCCACTAAGAGATCCAGTCACACAAAGTTAAATCTAGTTATGTGATAAAAAAGTAGAATAACCTTTGCAGAAGCTTGGAGGAAACCAGATAGTTACAACCTAACAAACACCAGGTTGGTGAAGCTAGCAACTAAAATATTTGCTTTGATATTTCAAAACTGAAGGGTGCCTATGGCTGCAGGTTTTTGTTTGTTTCCACCACAAACTTGCCATAAATTAGTTGCAAACTGTGCTTTAGATATCAAACATATACCTCAGTCTGAACATAAATTTTCTATCTGAAAAAAGCTTCTGGTATGATATCCTGCACAGGAGGAAAACTTTCAGAAAGATACCCCAATAACCACGAATTCTGTCTGAAATAAGGAGGCATTTTGCTTGGGATTTTTTTTTTTTTTTTGGCAGTGTCTATAGTGCTGTATTAAGTCCCAACCTACCTGCCCTTAACACCCTTAAACAGATAAATTTAGGAAGTTCAGGATTTGTTAGAAGCCAGATGAACACATGGAGTAAAGTACCTGTACAAAACCTTGTCCTGCCTCTTTCCTCAGGAATCTGGTAGCTGTCAAGAACTGGGATAAGGAATTGTGCTTGCCTTTGGTGTGTTCTGCCATCCTTATGTTCTGTCGTGTGGATGCAAATTGTGACTCGTGGTGCAGCTGAGAGAGGAGCTTGACAGAAGGTAGAACCAGTGCCCCTGAGGACAGCCAAAAATGCAGAGGCAGCCCTGGGCTGTTCTACAGGCAACGAGGCACAACAGCTTCTGCAGTCAAATAACAATTCAGGTTATTTGCCAGTCAAATAACAGACTCACACCTGCACCTGCTGTAATCAAAATGTAGCAGTTTCATCACTGAGTGCCCCACACTGACTTCATATCTTTCTCTGAACCAGATCTGTAGCCATAGGAAGAAAATGACTAAGGATTAAGCCGAAGCGAAAAGTTTGAACTAGATAATTTTTATTTATTTTATTTTATTTTTTTTTGTGCATTCCCATAGAAGATGTTTTACATCTTATAACCTTGCCAGACAGATCATTTATTCACCATGGTCACTGAAATGAAAATCAAAAGACACTTAAGAGTTCTGTTAGCATATTTGCTGTTTCTGTCCTTATTTACATGATGCTGGAGAAATTTTTAGAATATAATTCCAACACTGACCCCAGAAAGAAAATGTTCTCAGTTTTCAAATCTTTGGGTAAACTCTGGTAGATCAGCACTCACAGGACAGTAAGAGACATTTAACCTCAGACCTTGGGCTGCCACTGCTGTTGCACTGATGAGCTCCAGATCTTCCCACGAGATATGAAAACACCTGGATAATTCCAGTTCAGGTATTGGCACATCTGCAATCTCTATGGTTTCAAGCAATACAAAGATGCTGAAGTCTTGCTCAGAAAGACTGAGAGCTAGAAAAATCCAGTGCTTACTGAAAAGGCAGATCTCTGTCAGTCAGACCCACCAAACAGTCTGACAAATGTTACTGATGACCTGTGGAAAACAAAGCAGTGGAACCAGCACAAGATGATTGCAGGAATGATGACCTCAGGGTGAGAAAAGTGATCTTCCTGCACAGACATTTCATAAACTGATGTATTACAAACAGCAACTTTGAAAATGTTTTCAGACATCAGCTAGGAAAAGAAGGGGTTGGCAAGGAAGTTAGATTCAAAGGAGGTGGGAAGCAACCTAGAAATACATTATTTGTAAATCAGACCAGAGAACTAGACACTGAGCTCTTATTTTCTGAGTGTCAACATGAAAAAGAAGGAAGGAAACTACAACTACAGAAATATCATTCATGTATTTCTGGCTGAAATCATTTCCAGGCCACTTGTCTGCTCTGCTGGTGGAACTGGCTTGGCCCACAGTATAAAAGTGGTTTACAAGGCATTTGCAGACCCTCCAAAATCTGGTGATCCTGAGAGTCAACTGAAGATGCAGAATTTCAGAAAAATGAAGAAATATCAAGTTCCTTAATGTTAAAGGTACTCAAATGGTCAATGGAGAAGACACAAGCTTTAGTGTCCAGGGCAGAGGCCCCGATAACAGAGTCTGATAAATGACAAAAATTTTGCGCAGCTACAGGAAGAAAACACATTCCTATTTCCTCAAAAAATGCAACAAATGGGATATGAAAAAACTAAACTGTATTGCAGTGATCTCTGCACATCCTGTGTGAGCTACTCACCTTTAAGATCACCAGAGACCTTGATGGAGGTATAAAATGTTTAAAATAATCTCCTGCATTCTGTGCTTGAAATAAAGGATACTAATCAGCCCAGCAGGCTCCAGCAAATAAAGACAGAACACTTGAATCAGACTCATAAGATTGACTAACTTTAATAATATGGCACAGCACTCTCCCTTGGTCTTGTTGCACACACAAGTCTGTGGTTTCTTTTCAAGTGCCATGCTTCTGTAGCATGTCAGGAGAGCAAAGGACTTTAAAACTTTCAGAAGTATTACATATATATATATATATATATATATATATATTTTTTTTTAAATTTGGACAAACACAAAGCTTTCTCCCAGATCCTTCAGAAGCTGCAGAAGTTGATGTGCCATCTGGATGTCCCTGAAGTGTAACAACAGAAACTTAGCGGCTGCTGTTATCAGCCTTTGGCACTACAGAGACAAAATTCAGACTTTGGACTAAAAAAAATTAAAAAAATAATAAAAAAATAATTTATTCTCACACTTGAGACATTCCAGTCTCAATCAAGGGCAGTCACACAGAGGTATTTTGAGGTGCAAACCTAACCTGCTGGGTCAGAAGCTGAGAGTGGACAGCCAGTGCCAAAGACAATGGAAAGGAAAGGAATGGCTGTGTCAGCAGCGCCCAGAGCTGAGTCCAGGCTCACGAAATGGCTCGGTGCCTGTGCTGATCACACTACTGTGGATTTATGTGTCTGCTACAGAATCACAACTGCGTCAAGCTGTGGCAGCTGTAGATCTGTACAATCAGAAGGGCTGAGAAGGAGGAGGTGAGTGTGAGCCTGCTCAGAGATTTTGAGAAGGAAAATTGTCTCGATGTTGGAAAAATAAAGACGTCTCTACCAGAGGCAATAATGTGGCCTCCCTTAACAGGCATTTTAACCCACAGAACATCTCATCCTCAGATAGACATCTCAAGTAGGTCACTGGCTTGTGCCCTAGAAAGATTTATTCCTTTCCATTGCCTATAAAAAGCAACCTAGATGATTAGCTCAGATTTAGATATCTAGAATTAAGTGAGCTAAGATGCTCTCATCATAAGAAGATACGATTATTTGCTTTGTTATTTAAACAAGGAATAAAAACATTATGCTGTGTGAAAAATCACTTTCTGCCTGGCAAACAATTCTGGTGTTACAATGCAGAAAGATGGTTTCCTTAGGCACATGAAGATTTTAGATAGCTCAACACATCTGAAATTCGTTGAAGGGTGCCACATCTGAACAAAGTCTTCAGGTGTAAGTAATGCTAAAAAGCAGCATTACAACTTACTATTCAAATTGTACCAAAAGCTGAAATTTTGGTCACATTGGCTCTGTGTGATTATAGGAAAGCTGTCCCTTAGCAAGGGCTATAACTTCAGACCTCTGACTGCTGTAATTTGCTGCTTCTCCATTGACTCCAGCATGACTCTGCTAAATTACCCTGCAATGAATCTGCCCATTCCTACCAAACTGGAATGCTCAGCTAAT